TATTAATATTTTTAAGTTGTTATTAAAGGAATTAAATAAAACATTATGATATTAATATGAAAAAGGAAGAAAATCTCCAATGTTAGCCTATCAATTTTTTTAGAAGATAGTGATAGTGGTTTGTTGATTTTTTTATTAAATATTACTTAGTAATATTAATTTCCAGTTAAAATGTATAAAATAATGGTCGCAAATGGGTTAGAAATTAAAATCCTATTTTTAGCGATTTTTTGTAATTTGTCGGTGGTTTTTCCCTTGGCATACTGGCATTAATTAATAACTATTGAGAAAATTATCTCTCTAAAGTACCATCTTGATCCAATTTACTAAAAAGATAAGATTATATATTATGTTGAAATTGAAGCACTCCTTTTGGTTGAAATTTTGTATACAGGATAAAAAAAAAACACCATTGTAAAACCACTAGATCCCTCGCTCAGTTCAAAATTTAAAAACTGATTTTTCTAAAAATTTAGTGGTTTTATAAATACTATTTAAATTATCTAATATATAAAAAACATTTTCTTCCAAAATACAATTATTCAGTTAGACTTAATTACCTAGCTAGTTAAATATTGATAGTCACTATGTATACTCGTATCGAAGGCAGTAATATAATTATAAGTATATAATTAGTAATTACTAATTACTAATTATAATAGTTTAAATTTCAAGTGAGATTTTTATCTATTGTATTATAATTATTATGTTTTATAATTATAACACAATAAATAATACAATAACAAAACTCAACTAAGTTATATCTATGTACCTTTATGTATATGTATAAATTTATAATAACACGACTTTTCAAATGTTCCCCTTAAATTGTTCTTATACTTCACTAACATTTTGTAAATATCCGTCATTATTCCATTATGAAGATAATTATTATATGTTTTCTAAGAACCATGGAATCAACTCTTGAACTTATATTAAACTTATATTTAACTTAATATTTCAATTTGCACAATTGCCCCTCGACCCACATATTTTTATAAAAATCAGTTTTTACTGTTTTTTTTCTTTGTTGAAAATTCTTTGTCCTTGTATGAATGCTAGCGAAAAGAAGTTATATAACATTTTTACCAGCTTTATAAATGAGTTTGTGTGTTATTCTCGATTCTTTTGACGCTTTTTATATACTAGAACAATACTGCCAGAATGCCTGCATGGCTGCATCTGGTATTCGTCAGTGATCAGTATAATATAGTTTTTAATATTTTCAACAACATTAGTAGAGTAATAACGCAAGGAAGGTACCATTGAAATTGTTAAAAAAAACTACTTATCAATCTATTATTAATATAATAAAAATTCATATTAAAAAGTTATTTAGTTGATATTTTATATATGACATTGTATATTATTCATTAATACGATATTAAATAATAGTAGGTACGTACTTTTGTTAGTATCCGGGGCGGACCCTGTATAATATTATGGGCTACTTATTTAAAATTGTTATTATAATTATTAGATACTTTTGAACATATAATTTTTAGATTTATAGTTGATTCCTGATATTATATTACTATCAAATATTAAATATTGGCTAGAGAACGATTCAGAGGGAATCCCCCTGAATAATAGGTGCATCTATATGAATTAATGATAATTATTTTTTATTATACCTACTACACTATCTAATGATAATTTAAATTTTTATTGCATTGCATTGCGATACGCCTGTGCCCATTACCTATAATATATTATATAAATCACTAGTCACTACTCACCTTAATAAATGTCTACGACTACAGAGTTCAAACTTCCGACGACCAATGTCCAATATTTATGTACCTATTAATTATAATAATATAATATTATGTTTATCTTCCGATAATACTATATAAACACTGCCACACTAGACACCACTACACCAGTAATGTTTGCATGTTAGCTTTTTATACTTTTATTTGTCACTCACTCACTCATACCCATATGTCGTAGCATGTTCATTGTTAATATAATATAATATTATACGTATTTGATAGAGTGGACAAATATATAGACAGACAAACAGACAAAATTCGAAGTTAAATAAAAACCTTAAGTAATAATTCATATTTGATTATGGCTCAGAGTATTGAAAAGGATATTTCAATCGATATATTATAATATGTAATATTAAAACTATTTAATTAGATATTTATATTGAAAGAAGAATAAAATTATTACAATTGTTTGGGTAGGTAGATATACTTACCTAATATATAATATAATTATATGTATATTGTGCCCACAGTGGCGTATATAGGGGGGAGGCCCCCTAGGCCAGAGCCCATAGTGAAATTGTAGGTTCAATTACTTAAAGCATTTCATGTATATCTACACTGTTTACAGTTTTTCACCATGATTAATTTAGTCAGTTGATTAAAATCGTTTTTGAGGGATCCACAAAGAAATGATTGTCAGGACTTGTTTTGATGACTTTGATGTTAAGTTCACAGTTAGATAACATTAAAATATATATATATATATAAATGAAATTGTCAATATTTTTTAAAAAAAGAATTAAGAAATTAATTTTACATAATTATAAAATTAAATTGTGCAATTTGTATTTGTATTGTATATGTCATAAATCATAATTATAACCACCCACCTCCCAGAAATATGTACCTACAGTATTATGGCTATGTTAGTCAGGCTATGCTTGGATAGTGATAAATTGCCCAAATTGGCCCATAGTGAAAATAATTTGTATATACGCCACTGTGTGCCCATATATATATAATATATATATATTAAAAAGCGGGTAAGTGGGTAATGCTCTGATGTACATTAGGTATCCAGAGAGTCACTGTAATGGATGTAATGGATAACTTGAAATCAATGATATAAAATCATTGAATACGAAAAACGATTATGGGCTAAGGCGGTTAGCCTATAATATTACTAAGTATATTTAATGAATATTAAATTATTCAATTATTGTAATTAAAGTAATTAATTTTTTTTCAAGCCGCGCCAGCAATAAAAGTTTAGTTTTCGATGACGATGGAAGCGTTGGAAAGATACCTTTTTCCGTCCAGCGGGTGTTAAAGTCGGAATCCCAAAAAGTGCCGAACAGTAAAGTGGAAATCCCCAAAAGTGCTGCGCGCTTATATAAACATACACTTTTGGTTGCATCTTATATTCATATTATTACCTCCATGCATGAGCATTACGCTTAAAATAAATAAAACCAAATCGTTTCTTTCGACTTTCATAAAATATTGTTTTTGTAGAATAGTCTAGTTGTTGCATAGATCCCTGCACTACCTTTGCCGTGATCGATGAACACAGGCTCAGGCATGACAAAAAATAGTATGTCTGGCTAGTGTGGGAAGGCAATTTCAGTCTTGGGCGAAATGAGGCCTCGCCTGTGGCTCGTGCCGCACACGTCGCCCGCAACTAAAATAGCTCACTTCCCGCCCATGCCACACAATAGTTCAATAGACTATTACTATTAGGAATTAGTATATTTTTTTAAAATTTTTATTAGCTTTCAACCAAAAATTATGATAATAGGCATTAGTAGTTAGTACAACAGTAGGTTAAGTTAATTTTTGCAGAAAAAATTGTATTTGAAAATGTCATTGTGTAATAATATGATAATATACTCCAAAAGTTTTATATACCCAAGAATAATATTTTGAAACAATCATAACAAAATAACTAAAAGTTATTCTTGGTTTAATATGTATTTCCCTCAAAATTTAAGCTTAAAATGTAAATAAAAGAAAATTTGTTCATACATTTTTTAGATTTGTTGGTACCAGTATAAACTATTTATGAGAATCAATGTTTTACATTTTTAAGCCTTAAATTTAAAAATTGAACATTTTTTAATTTTAAACTACAAATAATTTAAAAATGTTCAGTGATTTATCAAAATCTTGTCAAAATGTTAACTATTAATACAAATAAAAAAAAAAATCGTGCCTATATGGATCTTCCATATTTCTCAATCTCAACTGCTATTATAACTAGTAACTACTTATGAGGAACAATGCAGTGGCGGCTATCAAACAAAATAAAGGTGTATCAAATTTTGAATTTAGTTACCCACCCACCAACTCTGGTATACAATGGTATACAATTTAGTGCCTAACCAATATTTTACCACCCACCCACCCAATTATAAGGTGTATCGACGGATACACCTTGAGTATAGCATAGCCGCCACTGGAACAATGTATTATATTTTCAAGTTTATTGAAAAAAAAACCCCACATCATTGTAAAATCAATACATTCATCGCTCCGTTCATAATCTAAAAATTATAAATATTAATAATATTTTGTTGTAAATATTTTATAGCTGTTCAGTATAAAAATATAATTATAATATTATGAACATTACATATAGGTATTATTCAATTTTTTGTAAAATAAAATTGTAAATTTAGCGTTATGGTGAAGCTAATCCGAGCGATGAGAATTTGTTTAGACCTCTGACCTAGAGAATCTATTGGACTGAACTCAAGTACTTAGTCGAACCCCCTCCTTCCAAACAAAATTGAAACGTCATTCAAGCAATCATGCCTATAGCCTATATCATGATATCGCAGTCATACGTGTATTGTGTAAAACGCGTATGTGCAATGCCATCTTAGATCATATACTATGGATGGAGCCACTGCATATTATTTTGAAGCCGATATTAGCGACGAGTCACCGAATTAGGTGATCGATATGCGCATGCGCGAAACAACTCGTTTAATATTAATATTATAACTGTCCCCATCCCAGCCGAGTCACCGAATTAGGTGTTCGATATGCGCATGTGCAACGCAACCTCTCGCATATTTATCAGCTGGTGATTATAATATTAATATTAAACGAGTTGTTTCGCGCATGCGCATATCGATCACCTAATTCGGTGACTCGTCGCTAATATCGGCTTCAACTTTTTGTATTGCTATAATACGCAGTGGCTCCATCCATAGTATATGATCTAAGAATGCCATTCAGCGCCGTTTTCGTATTATTATTATTACTATTTATTATCAATCACGGCGGCGTCGACGCCTTATCATAAACGCGCGACGCCGACGCGCCGACGACATCGCAAACTCGCGACTGCGCGAAACGACCTCCACGTCCACGGCTGGACGGGCCAGCTACCAGCCCACCGCTAAGCGAAAACGCCCCGTTCTGCCGCAACGATCGAATGTAACGAAACGTTCTACTACAGTTCGCAGTGCGGAATTGGACGCCCATTACGGCGTATTATCGAAAACGGCAATGTTTCATTTTTATTGAAATAATTTTAATATATTATTCAATAATATATATGACACACGACGACGTGTATGTTTAACATATTTTTTTATTTTTTGTCCGCACTTCGCAGCGCTACCGTCAAGGCTGTCCCTTTCTCCCGCTCGTCATCCGCCGCCGCCGCCACCGCGCGCCGTCCGTCTATAATATTATAATAATACGCGACGCCGCGCCGTATCATCGACATCGGTGACACGCGACTTTTAAAAGTTTTTTTCTTCTTTATCAAATCCAACTGGTGACAAGGAAAAAAATATAATAATAATACGCGACTCCGTAGTACTGGTAGGCACGACACTACGGTACCGTCCAGTGGGGAGACAACAACAGTTTGTGCAAAACTACCAACTATACAGTGATATTATATATTATTGTTGTTACGGTTTACCGTTTACGACACTCATTCCGTCTCCTGTTCGAATCAGTTGTGGTGCGTCACCGCTGCCGCCGCCGCCGCCGCCGTTAATTATGTGATAATCAATCGACAACGTAAAACATTCGAAGAATTTTCCCAAAGTTAAACACTGTATACCAGTGTTCCGCTTTTTGCGTATCACACGCACACACACACACACACACACGCTCGCGATAAATATAATAAAATATTCGTACTGTGATTAGAAAGGAAGTATTCAGTGAGAGTTTAATATACGACGTAAAGATACATATATATATGTATATATATGCATAAATATTATTTATTAATTTTTTTTGTAATTATTTCAATACAATTTTCGTTTGTTTAAATATTTATATTTTTTAGTTTATTTTTATATCGTTCCTACATTAATTCCGTAACTCACATAATAATTATTATATAATATTAATACAGTATTACATTCACGACGGACCCCGGCGGAGAAACAGCTTGTAGAAAAACCCAAAATCACGTAAGTAAGACATTGCGTACTTATATATTACCATTAATGCCTATTATGTTAACATTTTACCACCTACTGACCCACTTTTTGCCACTATCTCCCAAACTATTTGGTCTATCGACTCATATGATTTTTCTCTCGAATTTGATAAAGTAGGTAGGTATGGGACTAATGGGATGCAAAGCGCATTTTGGCATATGTTAAAATCGTGATTTTTTAGTATGTAGTAAACGTTTATGCCTTTGTTAAATTTTTGCAGTACAGAATCTATTCTTTATTTAGGTAGTAAAACTACAAATGGTTATATTTTTTTGTATCTTATCAGTTGTATTTGTAATATTTAAAAAACATTTTTCTACTCTCGTACAATATGTCTCTCCGGAGAGATGTTTGTTTAATAATTAATAATTAAAAGTGTAATTTTTACAACAGTGGAACAAGCATAAAACAAGGTCGGTTCAACCATCTACGTGATGGTGTTTCAATATTGTCATCAGTTGGTCTATAAAATATATTATACTGTTCTATAATATCTGAGGGTCATGCAAGAAGGCTTATTTAATTAAATTACTTAATATGTATCTAACTCAAATATACTTCAAACATTTGTCCTGTTTTGTCTAATTAAACTAGGTACTTAATATTATTTCATAGCAAAGTATTCAAGCAATTATGTGGTTGGTCATGGTTAATTTTATAATATAAAGTATATAAAAAGTATAATTGAAACAAAACTAAATATCCTAATGAAATTATACCTATACCTAGACATAATTCAGTGGCATATCCAGGATTTTGCTCCCCCCCTGAGTGAGCTAACCCTGGGTGGGGCACAACACTAAGCATTTCTAAATTTCTCTAAAATTGAGTCATTGTTAAAATATGTTTTGGTAAAAACAATACCTAATGGTATTTTTGAGAATATTTCAGGTGCATTGAAGTGCCTAAACGTAGGTTTAACAATATTTCTTACTCTTAGTAGGTTTCTAAAAATATATCTGTTAAGTGTTCAATTTAGTTTTATTATTAAAACTGTTGACTAGAAGTCTTTAATCTTGTTTTAAGATATACTGAAATTGTTGAATATAATTTAGGAACAGAAAACATTTTGACTTTGGTTCAAAAATATATAAGTGTTTTCCAAAATGACATTAAGGCGTCCGGTGCCTAATAAGTAATTTTTTTCAAATTAATACACTGTAAAAAGAATTCCGGCAGTTGATTAGCGGGAAAGTATTATAATCAAGGTGGCAACTAAAATATAGAATCTAATTTTCAAATTCTATAGAACTGTGAAAATTTGAAAAACCAGCACCAACTAATTATTTTGTACCTATCTCGAATTAATTTTTTTAATTTTCCTTATCATTAGATCTTATATTTAAGTCATAGAATTTACCTTGAAATATATCTACTCCTAATTGTTTTTGATTATTTATTAAATTAATTTTAAGTTCAACCCTTTTTTGGTTGCTACTACATTTTTTTGTACCTAAGGGCTAAGATATTTAAAAGATCAAATATACTTAATAGGTGTTTATTTAATTTTTTTTATAGTCTTATAGATAATACTTTATTAAATCACATTAAATGCTGATTTATTAGTTAAATAATAACGTATAGTTCCTTATTGAAAACCATTATCTTGGCAAATTGATAATCAGTTCTAATTAGTTTAGATTATTAATAAATGTTCAAATGTACTTAGATTAAATCCAATTGTATTCAATTACTATTATTATTATGATTAAAAATCAATAAAATAAATCAATTTTTAGTAACTATTAACTACCAAAATATAAATTAGAAAAATCATTTTTAAATAGATATTTAAAATCTTAATTACATTGAATGAAAATTGGTTAAAATATCATTTAAGTTTTAGTAGGTACCTACTAAATATTTTTATTTCTAACATTAAAATAACATTTTAGGTATTTGAAATATCTTATGCTTTTCAGTAATGTAAGACCCTTTAAGTACACTAGAATAAATTTAAAAATTGTATAGGTACATCATTATATTTTATTGTAGAAAACGCTGGGATATAAAACATCTTATTAATTATGTTAAAAAATGTACCTAGCTTAATTACCTACTAATTACCTATTAATCATTCATCTACTTATATGCATGTAGGAATTTTAAAAATCTTGTTGGGTCTTTATGCACATAATATTACTAATCTATTAGTTACTTGGTGATTGTATAAAATAATTTCTAAAACATGTTTTACCTAGGTACATTTTTAAAATTGCAAAAATAAAATTTAAAACTGCATGCTGTTAACAATTTCTCTTACTGTAAAACTTTACTATAACAATATTTGAATGGCTAATGACCACAAATTATTATTTCATATAATTTTACTAGATGTTATTAACTTATAGGTAAGTCAATACCGACTGATGTTGAACATTGTGAATAGCTTCTTGGTATAAATACATTTAAAATTAATCTTTTTTGAAATAATTACCTATGTATTGTAAATAATAATTTACATAGGTATTGGTGAAAAGTTTCAATTCTATACAAATTAGATTTTTGAATTACAGTTAAATATTTATTTTCAATTTTTCTTAATTTGAACTTAAATGAGTATTGTCTTGTCACAACACAAATCATATTGACATAACATTTAAGTAAATTATTTTATAAATTATTCTTACCTCTGTATTGAAAACATAAATAGAACAATCGACAAATGTTATATGGTCAGAACAAAATTTATTGTGCTAATATTTTAAATTACCAATTTATGAGGACTTGGTTCCCGCATGTCTCGTCTTCATCTTACAAGTGCGTACACACTAAATTTTACGGTTAGCAGATCACTTTAGCTCTGTTGGTTTAAAAATTAGCTTGAATCTCTTATAAAATTTAAAGGTAAGATTATTATCTAGGCAATCTCATAGGTTTATTTTAATATTTTAATTTTAAAGTGGGTTATGAGTATTTTAAGATGTGCAAACAATTTATAATTTGAAAATACCCATAACTTGCTTTAAAATTAAAATAATATAAAAAGTTTATGAGGTTGCCTAGATAATAATCTTACCTTTAAATTTTATAAGAGGTCAATTCACTCTAATTTTTTAACCAACAGAGCTTAATGTGATCTGCTTAGCGTAAAATTTGCTATTTTACTCACTTGTTAAACGGAGACAACAATTGCAGGTACCATATCCTCTTATGAGGACGCCACACCCGCATGTGTTGTCTCCACCTTACAAATGTACAACATAGCAAAAACTGTTTTGCTCGGGACAACTGTTCTTGCACCATATTTGTTGTAGAACTACCAAATTTTAACAACACGTAAAACTTGAAAGACGAAGAACTTTATCTGTGCAACAGCGTGCCCATATTTTAGATGACATAAATACAATTAAAGTTATTTGCTTATAAAAAATGATTGATTGGTGCTATTAAAAAAAAGAGCACCCTGTTGCACAGATAAAGTTCTTTTTTACGTGTTGTGGGAATTTGGTAGTTCTACAACAAATATGGTGCGAGAAAAGTTGTCCAGCGCAAAACAGTTTTTGCTAAGTTGTACATTAGTAAGATAGAGACAACACATGCGGGTGTGGCATCCCCTTAATTTAAATATTCATATAATTTATAAATATGCACTAAATATTGAAAAAACAACCTAAACATTATAAAAAAAACTCAAAATAGAAGTTTTAGTTTTCAATTTTCTGGCGTATGAAACAGATTTTATACTTGAAAAGCATTGTCTGGGACTTCTCTGAAAAAAATGCTTATACTTATCGAATCAATTCAAAATTCTTATTCTATTATACCTGTGAGTAGCAAGTAGATAATGATTAAGTAGTTACCAATAAAAATTATAAATGTCTTAACAAAAATATAAATTGATAATCACTAATATATTCAGTCAATTCAACTCAAAAAAATTTAATGTATTTAAGAAATATTGTCCACTATTATTTTTATTAAAATTATTTAACGAGGTCTATTATAATCTTGAATGTAAATTTTTACAATAAATAACAAAATTGAAGGGTAAATTAATCACTTTTAAAAATATTAATAACAAATCTATGAAATAAAAATAGTACTGAATTTGGGGTTGTCAAAAACAAAATGTAAATTATATTACCTAAATTACTAGAGAAATTAAAAAAATAATCTCCAGAGCATAATTAATAAGCATATATTTCAATTTTTTTTAATTGTTTCAATTATTTTTAGAATAATTAAAATTGAATATATAATTATAGAATACCTATTATATACCTGTAGGGATGTAATTTTTCATGAACATATTTTGTTGTGAACCATTTCATGAACATTTTCAAAAAGTTCATAACTATGAAAATTTTAGAATTTATCATATTAAGATATCAAATAAATCCCTTGATATTATATAGTAATACATTTATAATATATTTAACCTACATAATTATATTTATAACTGTGTACTTGTATTATCATTTACCCATTTTAATATTATTTTAATAATTCATAAAGGTACCTACTATTAAGAGGATGTCAGCACACTTTGTTTTCTCTCTCTGGCCCACGCACAACATAGACAAAACCCATTTACGCAGAATAATTTTTTAGGTTTTTGAGTAATATTAGATCACCCTTTACAAAAATGATAGAGAATAATATTTTTGAGGGCATGACATCGATTTGTCTAAATATTGTCTCATAACAATTGAAATATTATTCAAATGTTGGTACAACATTTTTTTTATTTTGAAAGTCAAATTCAAAGTCAATTTTAATACATACAATAAAATATAAAACTCTGATATGTTGGTATAATATTATCCTCTTAAATTTATGTAATAGGTAATTTTACATTAAGATTATTTAAAAACATAAAAAAAAAATGCATTTTGTCTGTTGCGCTTGGGCCAGAGAGAGAAAACAAAAAGTGCATTGACATCCTCTTAAACATAATATAGAGAATCCAAAATCCAAATAAATTTATCTTGGTAATAAATATGTATTTTAATCTGCTGTAAAAAATTTGTGTTTGTTTGAAGAATTGTTTGGTTATTTCCATAATATTTTACCCAAATTGTTTTTGATAAGTAATTATTAGTTATTAAAAATTAAAAATTAAATTTTATCTAGTTTTAACACAATACCACAAGTCAGAACTATTTATAATTGATAAATATGTTTTATTTAACATGTAGATTGTAGGTAGGTACCTATTTTAATTTTATTTAAATATTCAGTCGTTTTATTCATAATTAAATAATTAATATTGAAATATCATACCAATCGTACAACCTCATAAATTAATTGTGTTAAGAAAAATACATTAAAAAACAAATTTTCAAAAGAAGTTGAAATTGTTAAGAAAATTTCAATGAAAAAATTTTCAATTTTCAAGCTTACATCTCTATATATTTATTAATTTTTTTCGTTATGATAATTTTGTTTATGGCTTATTATTTATTTATTTTATTTTATTTTATAAATCAATGGGTAACCCCCTTTTAGTAAATATAATGAATATAACACTAGATATTAAATATAAATTAAAATCAGAGATAATATGGTACCTTTAAGTAAACAAGAAAAAATACAGATATAATAATTAAAACGAACAAGAATAAATTGTTCTGGATATATTTAGGTTACAATAACTATAAAACTTACCTAATTATAGTGATATTCGATGGACTTTACTTTTGAATTGATTTAATGTGAGGTGAAAGACATAGATTTCTGCGGTTAATTTAATCACCTAATTTGAAAATCTGGTTATGGTAGATCCTTGCGGTCTGCTAGATTATGAATTAAAGACATATACGAGATGTAGATGACTTGTAGATCTTGTGGGTACATAGAATTTAAGTTGTTCAATAATATTAGGTGGTATCATTCAATCCATTTAAAAGTTTGTTATTATTACAGTTGCTATTTGTTATTTACTCTTGTATTAAGGAGATTCCACCCAGTGATTTTTTGTCTTTGTCTTGCACATGCGACATGGGATGTGTAAAAGTATAAATATTACTGTCAAATAAATGCACATATGTTTAGTTTGGGAAAAATAATTTCTAGCTTTGCTTCTCTGTATTAATTACCTGTATACAACGTATGATTCAGTTGTAGTAACATTACATGTTTTGGCTTTATGAATTCAATTCCATATTACCTTATTTGTGGATCAGTGTTTTTACAATTATATAATTAATTACATGTGGTGTTATTGATATAATGATATCTATTTGTTATATAAACTATTTGTCATTATTACTAGGTATTATAGAAAATTTATTTAATACTTAGTTATAACTTTAAATATATTTTTCTCTTTGCAGTAATAAATATATAATGGCCAACAGAGCTGTACCGCAGAGACCTAATGGCCAAACACCAGGAAAAATATGTCAGTTTAAGTTGGTTCTTCTAGGCGAATCATCAGTTGGAAAATCTAGTTTAGTACTTAGATTTGTAAAGGGGCAGTTTCATGAATATCAAGAGAGTACCATTGGTGGTATGTATTATTTAATTGCTTACTCATATTTTAAACTATTAACTTTATAATAATAATAATTTAATTATTCTCATACTATGATGTATTTCTTTAGCTGCTTTCCTTACCCAAACGATTCATTTAAATGATGTAGCTGTAAAATTTGAAATTTGGGATACAGCTGGTCAAGAGCGTTACCATAGTTTAGCACCAATGTATTATAGAGGTGCTCAAGCAGCTATTGTAGTCTATGATATTACTAATCAAGTAATAATATATTTGTTCCTTTTAAAACTGTAAATATTTTAAGATATTAACGAATAAGATTTTTTCTTTAAAAAGGATACCTTTGAAAGAGCTAAAAATTGGGTGAAGGAACTTCAAAGACAAGCAACACCCGGTATTGTAATAGCTTTAGCTGGAAACAAGTTAGATTTAAATACTATGAGAAGTGTTCAGACTGATGAATCACAAACATATGCCTATGAAAATGGACTGCTGTTTATGGAAACATCAGCAAAAACAAGTGCTAATGTGACCGAAATTTTTAAGGCAATTGGTTAGTAATTAAAATCAAAAATGTGTCAAAAACTTATTTTATTTTTACAATTAAATTGATTTAGCTGAAAAACTTCCTAAGAATGAAACAACTAATACAGCAGGGCAGGGTCGACGTCTAGTTGAATCTGAAGGAGCTAATAAGAGCCTTAGCAGCTGTTGTAAGTGATACAGTAAATCAAGTCAGTTTTCGTATGGATTATTGACATTTAATCATCTAATAAACTATATAGCTTTGTAAAATTATTAAGCCTCAGAATTATATTTATCAATTTGCATTTAATGTATGTATCAATATATTATCTAATAATATATACAAAATGTTTTGTTTATTTCCATTATGCTTCTCTGTAAACATAATGTGAGTATATTGAGCCAGCAAAATGTCAATTTTGGTATAATGTTGGTCATGTTCAATAATAGCTAATACTTTTTTTCATTCATTCAACTTTTTTTATTAGCAATAAAATATTGTTTGTATTTAAGGTTTTTTTTTTACTCAATCAAGTTTTTTCTATAAATTTTAATATAATTAAAATATTTTACCATAGCAAGTCAAATAGGTTTTTAACCTAATTAGTTATTGTGAACCTAAAAGTGTACATTTCAATTAAATATTTTCCCAATAACCTATTTATTGAAAATAAATTAGTTTATTACAAAAACTACTGTACCTACAGCCTATAACAACTAGGCCACTGTTAAAGTGATAAGAAATTTAACCATGTTTTTTTGTGATGTTTTCACCTAAACCGCGATTATAATGGTGAAATCCATACATTGTTTGGTTACTTCTAAATATTTCCGATTATTGTGACTAGTACGTTTTTGGTGAAATCAACCCTCAATACAACTTTATTTATAGAATAATATAACTTGTATGTATTCTGTGTTACTAAAATTTAATCACATTTTATATTATATATTATTTTAAAACCATTAAAATTTAAACTATTAAGTCTATACATATATTATATATAAATATATATATAAATTGACTAGCTATTTGTTTGATGGTATATAAGAATTTTATTGTTATAAATTTTATCCAAAAATATTAGAGTTATGTAATTTACTATGTATATTTCTTAATTTTAGTTGCAGTTTAGTAACTAGGTTTGTGTAAATGGTGGAAGAATATAAAACAAATATTGTATTTTATCATTACAAAATCATATTTATTTCATTTCAATTTATTATTTTGTTTATTATTATTATTATTATTATTATTGCTTTTTTAAATTGTTTTATTGCTTTGATAAATTATTTTATTTTAATTATGATGGTATTTAGAAAATTATATGTATAAAAAATTCCATTAAATATAATATGATTGCAATATATAAATATATATTAAAGTTAAAATGTTTATGTATAAAAAATAATAATAATAATAATATGAATAACAGATACAATTGAAATGTATTGACCAATAAAATTAATGTATATTTTTTTAATCAAATTTACTACCCTATGAGTAGTTATATTTTATTTTATTTATTAAATGCACGAAATATTATTATTATTATTATTATTATTTCTATAATATATATTTATCTTATTACTTACATGTTATCCATGTTATCATAATCTCATTAATTTCTTTTTAGTTAATAATTTTTGTGTTGACCAAATAAAACTGTAACAACTGTATCTATTTTAATAACTATGTTGATGTTCATCAGTAATAATAATTATATTATAAAATTTATATTTAATAAACAGTAGTATATTAGTATATAATACCACTAAAATGTACATATGATACAAAATTAGTTATTAATTATATATATAATATAAAACATGAACATAGTAAAATAAATATAGTTGCATTACATACTAATAGGCAATAGTTTTGCATGTGAGTTGTACAAAATAGGTGTGAACAGCAGCGCATTACGTCCAAAATTATATATATTGTAACGGTAACTTAGTTTTCAAACAAACAGTATCTATAAAAAGGTTATGATTTCTCATTTAGTATGGCATTATGTCATTCGCATTTCAGACAAATTTAATGTATATATGATATGAACTTATGCGATACTGGTTATGGACCTATTATTAGGACCACATGGGTTTATGTGAAAAATGGTTATGGTTGTTGACATTTTTTGTATATGAAATGAAACCAAAAATATTTAACTAAAAATTTTTCTCTATTCATGTACGTAGTAATTGTACAATAGTAAAGTGCTTAGATTTTCAAAATTAAAGTATGAAATAGGAGAGAGTAGTTAATTTTTTTGATACTACTAAATCACACAAATTAATAATATAATCATAAGCGTGCGCACAGGGTAGTCATGGTAGGCACTTGACTACTCTGCGCACTCCTCCCGGCCACCATCAATATTCAATATTTTATTATGATAATTGATGGTCAAACATAAAATACTTTTTTACTATGGTAAATGTAATTAAATGAGGTTACCCCATCCAAATTAGTTTTTATAACTTAGGTGTGTATATGAATATTATATATTCGTAATATGTGCGTGTGTCAATGTGTTATGTACTTTAAGTATATGACTACCCTGTTAGAAATTCTGCACACGCTTATGAATATAATATATTGTTTTTATTGAACCTTAAACAATATAAATAAATCCATGTGACAAAATTACAAAAAAAAAAAAATGATAATAATAATAATAATCAACATGTACCCTAATGTATTCTATTACAATATTTTAATTTATTTATTTTGTATAAAACTAATTTAAAATTGTTAAAAATGTAAAATAAAATATTAGCAAAAAATATAATTTTAATTTGTTCTTTTAATACTCCTTGGGATTTCCTCACTATACTCTATTCAAAATAAGAAACGTCCTTGGCGGCCAGCTACTGTGGAGATGTGTGACATGATAGGGGGACAAATGAGTGTTGCCACAGTAAGCGACAAAACTGGTCACTTTTGCGGTGTTTCTTATTTTGAATAGAGTATAATCATAACTGAGTAATAATAATTAGGGTTTTATTTATTTATGAATATTTATGAAAAACAATTTTTGCTATTCAGTTATACTATGTGTGCTTGAAACATATTTTTACTACAAGTTATATTTACATAAATTGTATTTTACATTAAATTAACTTAAATTATATTTTAAAACCTTTATCATTGAGTAGTAAAGGAGAAACACCATTTTTTTTTTGTATATTATTAAACTGAATCCTTCGATATGTACATAATAATAATTTTTATTTGTGAATGCAATGTAATCAATGTAATAGTGTAATACAGTGAACAGATAAATGTATCTAGATTTTAGACACTACCTATGAGATGATGTTTCCTACATTTTAAAACTATTACTGGAACAGTTCAAATAAAGGTACCTTCATTTGACATTGGTGGAGGGTTAAAATAATCCAAAATTTTTATTTTCAAACATACCTACAATTAATGTTTTGATCTAAATTTAATATGTTAACTAATAACTACCATAATATTGTTCATTAACATATAGGATACCTCCAAGTGTAATATGTAGGACGTCGGTAAATATCCTTGGCTGACAAACAGTCTTCAATTTTTTTTTTATAAGCATTTAAAGTTCGAATTTTGACAAAATGTAACAAAATTAAAATTTAAAAATGATTTTGTTGTTAAAAATGTATTACATCTTTACTTTTTATAGCTAAGGATTGAAAATTTAGAACAAAGTTCACATAAATTACTTTATTCACAATAATATCATCAAATATACTTAGTAATACCCACGGTTTAAGATAGACTGGTTGCGCGTCGAACGAAAAAAAGTGGCATGAGAAAGCGCTTACAAAAACTTACTGGCACATAACGCGATCTAGCGGTTATGAATTTAATTATATATATATTTGGTGATTGGCTGATGATTTGAATTGTATGTATACATAATACATATAATATATATATTTTAAATTGGGAGTTGTAGGAGGTCACGACACCATTTCCTTTTTAGCCTGCGCCTTGGATTTCCTGAGAGAGGAGAGGTTTTTAATAAGAGGATTTTGGTGGGATAGGAGTCGCTTACGGAAGCACGAGTAAAAGAATTTGGCTTCTTCGTTGATGGTTTTCATTTGAAAATCATTATGTAATGTTGGGTTTGAGACGTACAGTGGTGCATTGGAGAGTCGTCGAAGAGCTAGGTTTTGGAATACTTGTATTTTATTGGTATTGGATTTTTTTGGTGAACCCCAGAGCTGTATGCCATAAGTCAAAATAGGTTTCAGGAGGGTTTTGTAAATTAGAAGATTAACTTTTAGATTGGTATTATTATTTCTTGATATTAGAAGATTAATTAATTAAATATATTTTTAAGATTTCAGTATTTCACAAGTATTATTATTATTATAAATTCTTAATCACTTACTTATCCAACTAATTTAAATTGCATATTACATGTTTATTCTTTTTGTGTTAGTTGTAATTTACTATTTAGGTATCTAATTAAAATAATATAATATATAACGAATTTATTTGCTTGATTTATTTTAAAAAGATTTCCTATAAAAATGTGTTGTAAATATGTACCTAGTTAGTATGTAATAAAATTAAACAACGTTAATATTGTAGTTCGTAGAATAGTAAATGGTTGACAATGTGCAAAGACCTAAAGTGGAACAGACACTCAGTGAATAATATTGAGGTTTGAGATACCTAGAGAGATTAAAAATAAGTTAACAATAGTCATAATTAAAATCATTGCAAAATAAAATTACTGTTTTAGCACGATTTAGTAAAACTTATAGGCGTCAACGCTAGATGGCACTTACTGTCAGTCAGTTTATGTTAGTACATTGCATAGTCACTTGGTCAGTAAGCTTAACATACGTCGATGCGCAACCAGTCTATCTTAAACCGTGGTAATACCATACGCTATCTTCGCTCAGAATCGTTTTTCTTGTACAATGATATTATTGTATCATTGAATTCAAATTTAACAACATCCATTACTGTGACCCACTTGTAAACTACTGTACAACAGAGTGACACCCACTTGTTCACCTTTTTTAAGTTTGATAATGTTTTTGATTGAAGGAGTGATCGGATCTATAAGACTACAGTAGAATCCACTTAAAGGGGACATCTGCTTAATAGGGACATTAATAACAGTCTCGAATGAATGTATTGGGTGTAAAATTCTTCGGTTCATCGGCAGGCGCGCACCCAGAATTTTT